CACAGAGAACAGAATCCATCGGACTTCAGGAGTTGGGAGGGAGAAAGAAACGGATGGATTTACGGGGAATGAAATGGACTCTAGTGATCTTCCCCATTCTGAAGAGCATGTCTCCAAGGGGGCTGAGGCTCCTAACCATTTAGATGCAAAGGATAAGGCAGTTACTAAGGCTTTATTAGGACAATGTAGAAGTTCTTTAAAGGAAGAGAGTTAGGCATCAAGGACAAATGTACTTTCCATCTTAGTATTCCATATGATATGCACAGGGAATGAGGGATGGGTACCAGGAGTAATCCCAGATCGGTACCATTCACTTTGCTGAGTGTTGATTACACTGTGTTTGTGCTGTATGCCAGATCATTGCTGGCTCTACATGGTAGAGGAAAGTCATATAGGACTTACATGGTATCTGTGCCCTCTGGCTTAAAAGCAATTACAACCTTAACTTCTGAAAGTCCTTTGTGGGGAAAACTTTTCCTAGATGCTGGGGATGTAAGGGTATATGTGCATTTGGGGAGACTTTTTTTTTAAGTTGGTAAGAAAGTATAGGAGCAAAGAGGTCAACCTAGGTAAACTGGAAGCTTCTGGGACACAAGATGGTTGTTGTTTTTGCAGTATATTTATCAAGTTTAGTGAGTTCCACAAGCAGGAAAAGGTCCACAGCTGGTGAGAGGTGGTGGCATTGCTAATTCCGGAATGAAACCATATGAATATGTATGCACGTGTGCTTTTGAGGTGAAGCGTGTCATAGTTAATCCAGAGAAGCTGAGAGAGGGCTGGAGTCATTGGTTCAGGTACTTTTTTCTGGGAAAAAAAAAGATTTTTTTTTCTTTTTTTGTAAAAAATAACAAAAGTGTGTGAAAATGGCACCACTAAAACTTGGTGTCTGCTGCTATGCAGCCACCTACTCATATAGTCTTCAGCCTGATTTTTAGAAGGGATGTATGTTTTTGAATGAATTTCCTCCTTGAACAGAAATTTAGAAAACCTTGGAGAAAACTGAAATGATGTATTGTAGATAAGCAAAAAACTTTAGTGGTAATAAAAGAGGAATCAGAGTAAGTGACATACTACTAGAGTTGGAATTTTCTGTTTATAAATACAATTATTTCCAAAATTAAATTCGAAAGCTTGCACTACAAAACTGTGGGTGGAGATTTTCCTTTTAAAACTGTTTTTGCCAGAATTTAGTTTCTGTTGGCAATTTCTCATCACTTGAAATGTCAATATTTGGTAACTTTTGGTCATACCAAAGAATAAGTTATGGCTGTTTCTTTCTAAGCTGCCTGCAGTATTCTTTTAAAATTTTTCATAATATAGAAGGGTCTATCTTAATTGTCTTGTATATTAAAAATGATACTTGGAAGAAAACACTGAGTAGTTCTTCTTAGCAAAGAAAAAGTGGCTGAAAATGGCATGCTGAACTGAACTTGAGTCATACTAGGAAGTTTTTAAATTGAAAAACAAAAGACTTTATATTAATTGGCTTGTGCAGTTTTTATATTGTCTGTAAATAACTAAGATTGTTAATTACATTTTTAATCTTCCCCAACTTAGGAGTTAACCATTTTTAGTATGTGGGAGGAAAAAGTATGTAGATTTATTTATTTTAGGGAAATATGCTTGTGACCCCTACCTCTTCCATCCTCTCTGTCCTTTGAACTCCCTTGTTAGTCATGTAAATTCAGGACCTTCACTAATGCCTTCTTTAGCAGAGGGATCCAAGAAGACTATGCTGTGATACTTAGCTCAAATAAAATGAGGGAGCCAATTGTTATCTTGTCTCTCACATGAAGATATCTTCCTAGATCTGCACTAATGTTTTTTTTTCCCATCTCTCCATCCAACATCTCTACCTTAGGCACTTCATAGTCATACCAGGAAACACGATTTATCTTTGAGAACAGCCTGAAGTCAAGGCTCCTTCTATCTGTTGTAGAATTGTTTTATTCCAAGCAGGGAAGCCATCAGGACCTGATATTATTCAACAGTAGAGGCGCTTTATGATGTTTCTGCATAAGGCATAAGGATCCTACAGAATTCTTAGAGGGTAGTAGCAATTCCTGTGTATGATGAAATTTATACTATCTTCTGTAAGATCAGAAATGTTTGAATATTGGAACCCACTACACAATAAATAAGTTACCTACCTTGAAGGTGAAGTTGATAACAAACCTCATTAAGAGATATCAGATTTTTCTAAAATTGTACAAATACACTATTTAAACTTGCTTTAATAAAAACAAAGTAAAGTAATATTTTAAAATTTTCTTCCTACTGTGTGTTGATCACAATGATGGTGTGGTAATGGGGCAAGTTGTGTTTTATACACTCATCAAATGTTTTGTTTGGATGAAAAAAAGACAACAACAACTGAGACCAGAAGGTTCCAGCGGGAGGAGGCAACCCAACAGTGAGAAGCCAGAAATGGACATAAACACTGGGCTGGTAGATGCCATAAAAATGGGAAAGAACAACAAATACAATCCTATGTAGTCTGAATAACAAATGTAAATAACACATGGAAGCATTCCAGCCTCCCTGGCTGCTTGTGCTGAGAACAAGGAGCTTTCTACAAGTATTTAGGACAACAAGGACTTAGGTTTAATCGATGTTCTAGGTATGCAGTGAAAGCAGCATGGTGTGGTGAATAGAGGCTGCAGGGCTGGAAAGGCCTGGGTTCCTACCTCTCAACATGCCAGGCAGTAACTTTTGACTGTGGTTACAGAGAAGCTGCCAACCTCATTTGGTATAGTTTCCTAACCTGAAAATTCTCTTTAGAAATCACAGGTGTAGTCCTTAGCCCTCTCCTAGATATTCTAAGACCTTCTTTCTAGTATTGAGTAGCTACCCTTCCTGTGTTCTTGGATATCTTGAGGGTACCAATCTTTTTTGTTGCTGGATTTAGTGACGCTGTAAAACTGGACAAAGACAAATCTGACATCCCCTTCCTCTAGCATCAAGATCTTTAAATGCCAAATAGTGACAGATTGATCGTACGGCCATGAAAGCTCCTTCCCATTGAACTACAGAGAACAGAAAATAATCAGGCTTTACAAGGAGGGCTGAGAATGAATTTGATATACCAGTTGAATAATAGCATCTACTAGACTTCACTCAGTAATCTGTAGTACATCCATCCTCTTTATTCTAACCACTACTTTCAAAGAATAATTTACATAGCAGATCAGGTTTTACCAAACATTTAACTTATGTTATCTCTTTTGCTCCTTACAATGACCTTTTAAGGGATGACTGATGTATTATTCTCACTTTACAGAAAAGAAAACAGGTTCAAAGACTTCTAGTACCTTACCAGTGGTTACCCTCTGGCGAGAGTTGGAAGTAGTTATTCTCTCTCACATCTTCACTGGCTCCAAGCTCAGCCTTCTACCCTTGTGCCATTCTGGGTTTAGCATGGTGTTTAAAATCTTCCAATTAGATTGGGAATGTTTTGGTGGGACTTGTGCTAACCATTTGGACTAAAAGTATTAGTTGACACAGTAAATTACAGTGGCAGGAAAAAGGCAACAATGAGAATGTTTTATTTTTCCTCACACACACATGTGCAAACACAAACTCCTATTCTGATCCATATACAGTCTAAGATGAAGTCATTATTAAACAGAGGGGGGAAATGCTTTGGATGACTGATGATACCTAGGTGATGGCTCCAGAGATGAAGCACACGAGGGCTTCGTAAGATGCTTCACAGAAGACACAGGAATACTTTCCTGTTTTATGAGGTAGAAAAGGATTGTTTTAGCCAAACAGAAGTACAATATTAAGTATGGATTCCGTATCTAATGTCTAGAATTTGATCTGGTAAAAATTGTTTAGCTGCATAGCATAACCTGCCTCGTAAGCAAGACTATACAAAGGGAGCGAAGACCAAGTATGGTGAACAGAAGACTTGCAGATATAACTGACATAACCCATCTCCTTGTTTTTTCTCACTCTTCATCAGTTCCTAATTATGATATTTCTGCTTATACCTTATGCTATAGGCAGCTTACCCACTTCTAAATTGTCTCTCCCTTCATGTCTTATTCCCATTTGAGGAAAAAGAATTATGAGAAAATAAGTGAAAAAAAAATCTATCCATGATCTGGTGTGGAGGCAGACAGGATAGGCTGAAGGAAGTGGGTCTCTAATAAGTAAGGGAAAAAAAGAAGACAGATTTGGGTAACATGGAGAGATTGACATGGGAACCAAAAAATCTTTATCTTATAACCTTGCTTCTCAGGATGCTGTTTGGATTAAATCATTTTAGGAAGCTGACATACCAGATGGCATCACTATTCAATATCAAATTGAATTATCTAAGTAGCTAATAAAAAATCAATATTTTCCTGGTCCCTTGTATGTCAAATTTACAGAATCTTGCTGTTTATTAGGAATAAATACTATTTTAAATAAGGATAGTATGTATATGCAGATGTTTGTGTATATGTATACATATTACAAATTGCCTGTTAGAATTAGTCACATCCCAGTAATATCTATGTATATTTACTGGTAGCAACAGAAGGAATTATTCACTGTGGAGGGAACTTTCAGACTACTTTCAGTAAGTAAAACTAATTATAGTTGACATTTATATGTTGCTTATTTTGTGCCAAGCACTGTGCTAAGAGCTTTTTACAATTATCATCTCATTTGATCCTCACAACAACTCTGGGAAGTAGGTGTTATTATGATACCCATTTTGTAGATGAAGAAGTAAATTGAAGAAAAACAGAGGTTAAGTGACTGCCCAGGGTCATAAGCTAGTAAGTGTCTGAATCCGGATTTGAACAGTCTTTCTGACTCCAGGCCCACCACTGTATCCACTGTGCCAATTAGTAGTAAAAGCAAAGTCATTAGCTCTCCCTGGCCAGTGGAATGATCCTTACACTGAAAAATTATAAGGAAGTATTAAATATTACAAACTAAATAAAATGCCTCTGGAAAATAAGGATCTGGGTTTTCAAAAGGAAAATAATCTCAAAAGCTAGAAGTCATACTGGAAATTATCATTTTATTAACAAAGGGCAGTTATGTGATCAAAAAAACTATAAGGATATAGTTAAATGGAACAAAAATGCACACATTTCAAAGTCCATTAAACATTAAGGAAACACATATCACTTCATTTTGTCAGATGATAAGAGAGGACATTGAAGTTTACAACAGTAAGCTAAAAAATGGTAAAATTTCTTAGCAGGGGTGGGGAGGATGTGTGTTGCAGCATTTGTTTGAATTCCTTACTATTCCCTCCTAAAAGTAATTCATGAGTTTTTTTAAATTGAATTAAGATTTATTCTTAAATTTAAAAAAAATGAGGCATCCTTTGAAATAGAATACCCTGAGTCAAAAAAGCAGGATTAGAAATCACTAACTTAGACACTTCTTAGACACTACTCTTGGTTGCAACTTTTATGAACTAATAGTACTTTCAGGGGGTGGGTGGAAATTAGCTAACAATGGAAAAGAGACCTTTTGCTGTCCATAAAGATGGGAAGTTAGGGAAATTTAGGGTCTTGAAAAACTGCTATCAATTGGGAACTTAGGACCTCCAGGGCTGATAGCTTGGCACTATCCACAGATAGTAAAATATTTAAGAATTTCACTGGTGGAAGAGAGGATAGGGAAAAAAATACTAAAATCAGAAAGGAAGAAAGATACATCCATGGTTATTTCCTCTGACCCTCTGGTGAAAAAGAAGAAAGACTACTACCATTAATCAAATTAAATGTTTGTTGTTTTTAGCAGGAATTGTGAACTGGCAGCGTATTCTTGAAGCAAAGTGAAGCTTCAGGCATTGGAAAAGGCACATAAGAAAGCTCAGTTGATAGTGTTCTTATACAAAAGAGACTAGATTATCAATTTGCTTAACAGTAGTATTGAGGTCTACATTAAGCAGAACTTTTGCCCTTAACAGATCTTTTTTTTTTATTCATTTTCTTTGGGAGGTTCATTTTTCTTGATCAACCACACCTCATTGTGTCTATTAAGCAATTGAGAAGGACTGTTGTAGCCTGCAGTGTAGTAAACCTTTTCATCAAAAACTTTTCCATCTTCTCTCAAAATGCTTGCTAATGTCAAGAGTTGTTCCTGGTTCTTTTGGGCACTAGAAAATCCATCAAAAGACCTGTGAAGAAGAAAAGTAATAAACGTGAATCATTTGAATACTACTATTTAGTAACAACAGTCATAGTTCAGTAATTTTAAGTTTGAAATTTTAGTTTAGTAATTTTAAGTTTAAAAATAAAGTTCAAAATTAGTAATTTTTTCCAGGCCAACTAATTATCCACTCACTATTGTTCCTCCTGAAGAAAGGGACAGTAAGAAAACTAGTAATGGGGGCAGTGTTCAAGAGAAGCATTGTACTAATGATTTTGGTAGGTATGATTCCATTCTCCAACATCTCTATATCTTCAATTTACGAAAACTATCTATTAAGGCACTGTGCTAGGGTTACAATGACAACAATTGATTCTCTGTCCAAGGGAATTTATGCTCTACTCAATAAGAAATACCAATTTGGGTTTTTTAAAAAAATATTTTCGTCATCTATCTCAAGCCTTTCCCTTATGGAGATGCAGGGTGTAAATGAGCAGGAAAATGGAATGAGATCTAATCACTTTCTTTTTCTGCAGAAGAGCTATATTGAAGATAACTAGTGAGAAGGGATATGCACATGAAACACATTTAGCCAGCAATAATGAGTTTAAGCACTTTTGAGGGTGGTTCTTTTCCAGTTTTAAATAATAAAAAGAAAGTTTTAAGAAAAACATACATATTGAGTTTTAAAATACATGGAAACATGAGAAATAGAAATCTTCACATTAAGCCAGCAAAATCATTTCCCTATATTCAGATGGGCTGCTAACATATTGTTGTTTGTACTTTGTTTTCTATGAGGACCAATGATATCACTGGCTGATGTCTTGCATTTTGTATGAACTGGATTTAAGTGAGGAAGAATTGCACAAAATCGTCAGCCTCACTCTTCCAGAGTCATAGAAGTCCACTGGCAAGACAAAAGTCAGGATAATTGGCAATGGCCTGGATTGCAGTGGATGACCTTGGTGTCTTCAATGTCTGACCCAGCTCTAAGCACTCCACAGTTCTTGTTTCAGCTGCTTTCATGTTCCTTGGAACAAATTGTTCCCAGGGGTCCATTCCACCAGGAAAGTCTTCATGTGCTTGGAGTAGGCATCCTCCTAATTCAGTGACAGGTTTGAGACTTGTTGGCTACCCTCAACCTGGTTTAGCTCTTCTGTCAAGATGGGGTTTTACTGGGGTGTGGCTGCTCCATGTGAGTCACAGGTGACAGCTGGGTAACTATTTGGACACCACAGCTGGATGAGCAGCCCCTGAAACAGGCTTGGCAAGCCCTCACAGAAGAGATATACTCTAGATGATACATATGGGGGAGGAGGAATAAGAACTAGGGGAAGTATGATTAAATGCAATTCACTTTCTCAAGTGTTTATCATCTTACATGTTTGTGTCAAACAATTACTGGTTATGAATAATAGAGATAGTAGATTTTGAGGTTAAAGACACATACTTAGAAATGCCTAAAATCTCTGCCAAAATAAGTACCAATTAGGAGTTAAAAGGAGACCATGATTAGTTATATCTTGTCCTATATGCATAGGGTCAAAGCTGTAGGGAGAGAGATGGTTGCCTCTTTCTGCTCTTTCTTCCTCACCCTTCCAGCTCTCCTTAGAGGAAATGTAGAAATGTTTGATTGGAAAAATCAGAACATGGCTTTATAATTCTGTTCCAAGTTTTCAAATATATGCATGTACCCACAAGTATAATATTAGGTATTTATTATTATTTTATAATAATAAAATATAATATAGTGATATATAATGTTACTTTATTATACATCTATGTATTTCATACACACACACAAACACACACACAATATGGGGTTCATAAAGCAAAAATGTTTTCAACTAATCTATTTCATTCCTGTGAATTCATCTGAGAGTTGCAGAGTCACATTTCAGTTACTAAAAGTTAGGTATTGTTACATTTGGAATATAAAATCAAAGAGAATGAGAGTCAACTTCTTAGAATATTCTGATATATATATCAGAATATATCTATATATCTATATCTATATCAGAATATATATATCAATATATATCAGAACATATATATCAATATATGTCAGAATATATATATTTTTTATATATATATTTTAAGCTACCTGGGTTTGGAAGAAATTTCTGTTCAAATCTCATCTCCATGAAGCCTTTCCTGAGCCAACAACCAGGGAGAAGTGATTCCTTCCTTTTCTCAACTACTGTTGCACTCATCTCTACCCACACTGCCTTGCATTGCAGCTATTTTTGAACTTAGGTTATCTAATTATACTGTTGGCCCCTGGAAAGCAGTGACCATTACATACCTTTTCATTCCTCACAATAAATTCATCATGATTTACCTTACTGGTATCTATGTACTTTTCAGTCCTGAGTGTACCTGTTCACACAAGCTCTCTTCCCACTATGTAACATTCCACATTCCAGTTATTTTGCACAAGTGTCCTCTTTGGAATGTATTTCCTCCACCTCTACCTCATGGAATCCCCATCTTCCTTCCAAATACCCTTCATGTACTAACTCACTCCTTCACATCACCTTTCTTGATACACATTAGTAACACGCTCTTCCCTCCCTTTCCTACATTAATTCATATATATTTTGTATTGAATTATGCGTGTGTGCAAATGTTGTTATACCCTCCTATTACTTCACAGAATGTAAATTCCTTTTTTAATTTTTTTCAAATTTTTTAAAAATTCATTTTCAGGCAATTGGGGTTAAGAGACTTGCCCAGGGTCATACAGCTAGTAAGTGTCAAGTGTTTGATCTGAGGCCAAATTTGAACTCAGGTCCTCCCGACTCCAAGGCTGATACTCTATATACTGCACCACCTAGCTGCCCCTGTAAATTCCTTTTTAATCTATCTCTAACTTCTAGCACAGTGCCTTGCACATAGTAGGTGTTTAGTATTTAACTGAATTGAATCTAAACATGGAAGAAATGCCTGTTTAAGTATATTACTCCTTTTATTTTTCCTGTTAAGACTCAAGTTGCATAGAAACTGTATGAGCACACAAGTAAAATTATCAGTCTGAAGAGCTAAATTACCTCCCACTTACCGCACAAACACTGTCATTGCAGCTCTGTCTTCAATAAAGACATCTGACTCTGAAGGCTTCGGTGGATCAGATTGCTGTTCAGCAGGGATGTATAAGGAAATGGTAATTGTAGACTGGCAAAATGGCCCTGAACCTGGTTCCACATAGCTTGTTACTGGGGTAGTCATCTTGATCTTTACCTCTGACATGATTACAAAAGGGGAGGAAAGGAGAAAGAAGAATGAGCTAACACTATATTGTACCCTTCTGTTTAGTTATTTCTCATCTGACCTGCCTATAATTTTCTTGAATAGAATGATTTTCCATACTTCCCAGTAAATATGGAATTTTAAAGGAAACTTCCATCCTTAAATATGTGTGTGTATACTCACATAAAAACACACATACTCTAATTTGCTCTATTTCCCATACTAAATGGTACTGGTAGTTGAGGTTATCAAATCCATCAGATAACCTTGAAACACTAGGAAAGGGTGGATCAGATGGCTATTTTGAAGTGCTTATAATGAATTCATTAAACAGAAATAGAGAAAGAGAAAACACTGAGAAAAACCCCTGAAGAAACATTTTGTGCTCATAGTGGTGATAGGAATAGGATATTATCCCAGCTTTGTTCTCATTTATATGTTAAAGAGTTGTACTCAACTGCCATCCCTTCCCCCCCATTCTGAAACACCTAGTGTATTAGGTTACCTTCAACTACTGGCTTTTCCCCATTACCAAATAAAAGAAATGAACAAGGGGATTTTTTTTTAAATGTACTCAGTTGCTTAGGATCAAAAAACTAGAACTGAAAGGAAAACTGAAGGTTCATTAGTCAAATCTCATTTACAGATGAGGATGCTAAGGCCCCGATTCTTAATCTGAAAAGGGTAAGAACTGTATCTTGCTGGTTATTCTTTATTTTGCTGAACCAATTACCTATGGTCTACAGGGTCATAGATTTAGAGTTGGAAGAGATCTTAAAAGCCATGAAAACAAGACAAAAAAAGGGGGGGGGTTGAGTATCTTCTCCAGTGTGGCACAGCTAAAAAGTGTCTGAGATAAAATATGAACCTAGATCTTTCCTGTCTGTCCTTCAATTTTAACTGACCACAGTGGTGGTTATTTTTCTATCATATTCAACAGAAGTTGGTTGCCTATATAAAATAATACCTTTCCCTTATTAAAACTGAAGGCCACATTGGACCTATTACTCAGTCACCATTTCATATGAATGTACAATAAACCACCTTACCTTTCTCATTCTTGCCTTGAATGTAATTACGAAGTTTCGTGAAGCCAGCTTGGACAGCTGCATCCCAGTCCATTGACTCAACTGAGGTACTAACCCACTTAGCTGGTTCATACTCCCGGATCTCATAACTACGAGGCTTAAAGGAAACAGGAAAAAAAAATACAGAAGGAAGAAAGAAGCTCTAAAAACTCAAATTTAACAATAGTGGTGGCCTACTTTCGAATCCAATTAGAATACATACTTTATGTACAAAAATAGAGTTTTGCATGTGTCTTATAAATTCAAAGGCGTATAATGATTGCCTGCAACCTCAAGTACTGCTATGTCACAGGCAATATTTTATTTTTACAGCAGAAAATACTTATTTCCAGGATAAGGCTATTGTTGTTATTTATTGCCTAGAAGAACAATGACTTTTTTTATAATAGTTTCTTTGCTAAAAATTACAGTGACTTTTTGCTAAAATTATATGAGACCAGGGAACTTTTGCTTTTGCATTGCAAATCACCCAAAATGTGACTCTTTCTGAGCATTGGTCCCAGAGGCCTTCCCAAAGTCTCAAGATGCTAATATTTGCTCACCTGTCAATCACTGGAGTTGAAATAACCTCCCTCCCCCACCCCAACCCCGACAGGGTGTTCCAAGGACTAGGAAGCTAGGATGGGTTTCAGCTTCATCCCATCCCACCTACTTCCCCGAGGGAAACTGGCTCCCCATCCCAGGCCTCGGAGCCTGGGCATCCTGAGTCACTGTTTTCCTCTGCGCCCTGCCGCTCCCTCCTTCCTGCCAAGTTGAAGAAGTCAGTCACTACCTCCCAGGCTGCCTCCTCCAAGCCCTTCCAGTTGGGTGTCTCGGGAGCGGGGGCGTCTTCAGCAACTTGCTCCTCTGGGTCTGGGTCGGGCATCTCGGACATGGGCGGTGGAGCTAACTTCCAGGAAAAGATGCGAGGAAAAATTGGGAGCAGGCCTGGCTGAAGGCGAGGCCCACGTAACTTGACCCATTTCTCCGCCCCTGCTCCCGGGGGGCTGCACCTCGGCCAGAGACTCCGCCCAGGCGGGTCCTCCTGAGTGCGTGGGGGCCGGAGGGTGCAGCCAGGGATGCGGGCCCGCCCTGAGCGCGCTAGGGAGCGGTGCCAGACCTAAAGTCTGGCCCGGTTGGGACCTGACGGGTGAGCTAACGCCACGGATCAGGCAGAGCCAGCGCCTTCTAAGCACACCGCCACCTCCTCCCACCCCTCTCTCCCAGCTGCTCAGGTGACCGCCCAGGTAGCCCCAGGGCTGTTCACGGAGACTGGGGGAGGGAAGAGGTGGCTTTCACCACCCTCGATTACCACCCAACGCTCGCACTCACCTAATGCAGGGGAGCAGCAGTGTGTGCTGGGAGAGCAGACCCGGGATATCTTTCCCTTCTCTCCCCTACTGCAGCTGGAGCGAGGCCTGGCCACCAAAGGCAGGCGAGGGTGTAGCCTGTGGGGAAAGGCTGCAGGCCGGTTTCACAGGTTTAGCTTTTTTTTTTTTCCTACCAATATCAAAGGGTGATTGAGAGAAGCGCCTTGAAACTTTAAAACCAATAGGAATGTGAGTTTCCATTTGACATCTAGAATGTGACCTGGAACAAGCCCTCCTGTCTACTTTTAGCCGAACTTTTATTCATTTACATTAAAACTATGAAAACGTGTGTTAGAAGAAGCCACATAGAATAGTAAGGGGTGAGTTTACCTCAGAACGAGGGACATCTGAGTTTAAAATCTGGGTTTAGTATATGCCTCTGACACTTAATATCTGTGTCACCCTGTACAAGCTACTTACACTCTCAGAGAGCAAGCTTAACTCTAAGAAAGGAGTTTTGAACCTTTTTTGTTATGGACTCCTTTGACAATCCGGTTAAACCTCTTCAAATTCATAAAATACATAGAATTTGGAGGGAAAACAATTATGTTAAAGTTATGTATATGTGTGTGTGTGTATATATATACATATATATATAATATATATATAAACTTATATGTGTGTGTATACGTGTGTATGTATGTATTTAAAGTTCCTGAACTCCAGCTTAACAACCCTTAATGTAAGACTTTCAATTGCAGAGAAGCAACAGACCTAGTATTAGTAAAGAGGCATTCTCTATATCAATGAAATAAGAGGTTCAGTCGCTATCCCAGTAAATGTGCTTTTCACTCTTAATCTTGCCCTTGACCTACATCGTGGTGCTCTAGAAAGTGCACATGGTACACTTGGAGTCATGGGATTTGAGTTAAAAGCCCAAACATCTGTCTACTATTATCTGTGTGACCTTGGGCCAATTACAACCTCTCTATGCTTCAGTTTTTTGTTCTGTAAAATGAAGGAATTGGGCTAGATGACTTCCAGCTCTAAGTCCATCAATAGCTATGGTCACCTGGTATGCCTAATGTCAAAAAATGGTATCATATCTCATTTTTATTTGTATTTTAAGTTTTTATTTTTATAAATTAAATTTTAATTTCCTTAGTGTGAGGAACAAAACAGTATCCTTTATGATTAGGAATTCAATAAATAGGGCAGCTATGTGGTGTAGTGGATAGAGTAGTGGGTCTGGAGTCAGGAAGGCTCATCTTCCTTAGTTCAAATCTGGCCTCAGACACTTACTAGCTGTGTGACCCTGGGCAAGTCACTTAACTCTGCCTTAGTTTATCTGTAAAATGAGCTAGAGAAGGAAATGGCAAACTACTGTAGTATCTTTGCCAAGAAAGCACCAAATGGAGTCACAAAGAGTCAGACAAGACTGAAAAAATATATATTGACTTTAGAATTCCTAGGTACACACCCTAATGAAATGTACTGTGCACACCTATGTCTAGAACTATGTTCTTATGACCTTTATCCATATGGGACACTCCCTGGGTGGAATTTTGCTCTACCAATGCACATCAGTAACTGTGATTTATAGTATCAAAAAGTTGCTTGATAAGAAAAAGTTAACAGACTTGACCAGTTTCACATTGTCAGTAGGTCAATAGTAATACCCAACCCGCACGGTCCTGACTCTGAGGCTGGCTCTAGAGACAATGTATCAGGCTATCTTCTGTTGAACTTATTGTATTTATGTTTTTTCCCCCTGTATCACCTCTGCTTTTGAATCAGCTGGAGAGCCGATTTCATTCACCTCTTTTTTTTTTCTCTTTTCCTTCTGGGGAGACTCTACTTAGCTTTAGGCAGGAGTGGGGAACCTTCGACCTCAAGGCCACATGTGGCCTTCTAGGTCCTCAAGTGCAGCTTGTGAATCCCAATTTCACAGAACAAATCTTGGACTCAGTCAAAAGGCTGCACCCAAGGCCTGAGTCCAAGTTTTACAGAACAAATCCTTTTATTAAGGGGATTTGTTCTGTGAAGTCATACACTTGAGGACCTAGAGGGCCACATGTGGCCTGGAGGTCGCAGGTTCCCCTCCCCTGGCTTAAGGGGTGGGATGGGTTGGTGGTGGTGATGAAAGTGACAAAACTAAATGCCAGCAATTAATATTCTTCTCCTGGAGCTGATCAAATGCCTGGGAGTGACCTCACTGTTCAGCAGGAAAAACAGGTTTGTAGAATCAGATTTCATAACAAACCTAGCCTTAAGAATTCTACAAGGCAGAAAAACTGGCCCTGTTATTTATTTTCTGCATATCTTGAAAATTTTTAAAAATATGGCTTTATGCCTTAACAGGAAAAGAAGCAGTTTCTTTAGAGATTGGGATAGAGAAGAGAAAGGAGCAGGCAGGGAACCATGAGGGTGGTGGTCTTTTCAGACAATATTTTTGGGTACTTGAACAAGGTCAAAGCAGCCAAGTGAATGTAGGGCTAAATCTAGTCTCCTCTCTAGGTCATAGCCACAGGTAGAGATTTGAAAGAGGGAGGGCAGGCTTTGGGACTCAGAGAAGAGACAATAGTGTTAGAAGCTATGCTTGCTTACTAAACCATATTCTCTAGGAATCCTCTGGTTTAGGTACCATCTTAGTGGTTTGGATTTTCCCTAGGGTGTACTAAAGAATACTGGATGAAATTTGTATCCTCACCTTCACTTGTAATTACCTCAAATCTCCAGTTCATTCCCCAAATTAAAATGGTCACCTGAGGAGCAGATATAGGGACTTACTGTTTACCCACTAGTGATTGGGCAGTACAGTGATGAAAAGAACATTGAAGCGGTAGTGAGAAGGTGTTTAGGTTGAATCCTGCCTCAGACACTTATGAGCTATGTAACTCAGAGAAAGTCATTTAAGTTGTCTGTATCTCAGTTTCTTTATCTGTAAAATGAAGATAATACCTGAACCACCTGCCTCAAAGGATTATTGTGAGGAAAGTGCTTTAAAAGCCTTAAAGTACCAAGTGGATGTAAATTATTGAGTTATTATTAAAAGCTAACGCATATACTTTCATCTTCTTTTCATATTTCCTTATTCCCAAATAATATGTTTGTATGTGCTAAACAGATAAAGAGTTTTCTGGAAGCAATCTCAATGCTATTATTATGCAGAAATAAATTTGACTTCATTTAATGTCCTTTGGTGAGGCAGTTTGGTACAATGGAAAGAGCATTATCTGTGGAGTTAGAGGACCTACAGTCTAGTCCCACCTCTGATGTTTACTGCTCTGTTACTTTGGACAAATCACTTATCTTTCCGGTGCCTCATTTTCTTCATTTGTAAAAATGGGTGGGTTGGGTAGATGTCTTTTGAGGTCCTTTCGCTCTGTATCTATGATCTTTATGATTAAGCATAGTAATACTTCACATTTGTGTAGAGTTTAAAGGTTTGCAAAACACTTTATAAACCTTGTCTTGTTCGGTCCTCACAGCAACCCTCTGAGGTAGTTCCTATTATTCCCACTTTACATGTGGGGGAAACTGAGGCCCAGAGGGGTCAAATGACTAGTCAATAACCAAAAAGTGTCTGAAGCAGAATTTTTAAACCTGGCTTTCTTGACTCAAAGTATAGCACTTTATTTACTACACTATGCTGCTTCTTTATTCTTTAGCTTTTAAAAAATATTTTAAAGGTGTTTTAAAAGTATCTTAGCCCATTTTTTCCTTTAAAAACATTTTTTTAAATAATACAGTCATGAGGTGAGGAAGTGGCAGGGTCAGAGGAGAGATGGGGGTATATTTTTAAAAAACTCTTTTTTTCTTTATTAGATATGACTGTCAGTTCAAGTGGCATTACAGTATTGAGAATATCATTCTATTTTACTGCAGAGCAGGAAAAGTGTGGAAGCAAAGACCTGAGGTAGGTTATACTGATACCTAAGAAATATCATTATATACCTATAATGCCTACAGGACCTGTTAAAAATCTATGAGATGCCTGTTATATAGTCATTTAAGGTTTTCAAAATTACTTTCTTAAAAGAATAAAAGCTGAAGTTAAATGTTAAGATGTTTTATAGGGTAATAGTAAATTTTCCGAAACAGTTTATGTATGTTCTCTTAATTGGCAGTTATAACTCTGAGAGGTAGTTACTATCGTTATTATCTCCATTTCGCAAATGAGAGGAAATGTGAGGATTAAATGAAATAGTATTTGTAAAGCTCTTAGAACAGTGCCTGGTACATAGTAATCAACCAATCAATAAACATTATTAAGTGCCTACTATGTGCCAAGACACTGCACTAAGTGCCAGGGATACAAAAAGAGGCAAAAGACAGTCCCTGCCCTTAGGGAGCTTCAATCTAATGGGGGAAACAACATTCAAACAAATATATACAATTCAAGCTATATGAATGGCAAGTGTGAAATGATAAATGGAGGCAAGGCACTAGAAATGAGGGGTTGGTGAATGCCTCCTGTATTAGATGGGATTTTAGTTGGGACTTAAAGGAAGCCAGAGAGGCCAGAGGGAAAGTGGAGGAGGGAGAGCATTCCAGGCATGAGGGACAGCCAGAGAAAATGCCCAGAGCCAAGAGATGGAGTGTTTTTTTTTCATGGAACAACCAGCAGGCCAGTGTCACTGGATTGAAGAGTACATGTCAGGAAATAGAGTATAAGAATACTGGAAAGGTAGGAGGGACCAAGATCATGAAGAGCACTGAATGCCAGAGTATATTGTATTTGATCCTGGAGGTAATAGGGAGTCACTGGAGTTTATTGAGTAGGAAGGAAGATGACATACATGGTCAGACCTGCATGTTAGAATAGTCACTTTAATTAATAGATAAGTTTATCAAGTAGGATGGTGACATGATCGAACTTGAGCTTTAGGAAAATCTTTAGTAACTGAATGGAGGATGGATTGGAGTGGAGACTTGAGACAGGTGGACCCACCTGCAAGCTATCTATCATAATACAGGTTTGAGGTGATGAGACTCTGCACCAGGGTAGTGGCAGTGTCAAAGGAGACAAGGGAGGGTGGTATTTGAGAGATGTTGCAAAGGTGATATCGACAGGCATTGGCAACAGATTGGATATGGAGGATGAGAGCTAGTGAGAAGTCAAGAG